ATGTAGCCAATCCTAATGAGTTTCTGCTGTTGGGTGTGGCCAACTTGGAAGCCAGCCGGAACTCCGTTCCTCTGTGTTCCTGCCCAAAAATAGCCCTGGCGAGGAGGCAACATCAGGAGATGGTCTCAGCCTCTATGCCCTGTTGTTGACTGTCCAGAGGAACTGGTTGGCCACTGTGTGAGACAGGATGGTGAACTAGATGGACCACTGGTCTGATCCAGCAGGGCTCTTTTTATGTTCTTAGTGGCGTAGTTGGCTGTGTTTGGGTGGACTCCTTCATCCTTTAGATTTTAGTTGTGTTTCGAAGTGGATGTACTTTATCCCGACTGGGAATGGATCAATTATTTGAAGGTGGCCAAGATTGCCTTCCAATGAGACCAAGCTGATTAGGGTTGCCAGCCTCCAGGTGGGCCCTGGAGATCTCTCCCTATTACAACCGATCTCCAGATGACAGGTATCAGTTCCCCTGAAGAAAATGGCTGCTTTGGAGGGTTTGTACTATGGCATTGTATCCTGCTGATACCCCTCCTTTCCCTAAACGCCTGTCCTCCCAAAGCTCCACCCACAAAAATCTCCCAAGTATTTCCCCACCCAGATCTGGCAACCCTAAAACAGATTAATATCAATTTATTTGTTTGGTGCCCTCTGGTTTTGAAGAGTCCTGTATGTTTCCTTGTGGGTGGGTTCCTTTGGGAGGAAGGATTGGATTGTCCATTTTTCTTTAGTCACTGGGTTCTTAGACTGCATTTACATTAAAAAAAGCATTCAAAGAGGTTTACAAAAGCAAGAAAATTATCAATCTCAGCATGCAATAAAACTGAACAAAGGCTCATCAATTTACAGAAAGCCAACAGATTAAAGAAAAATAAGGTTATGGGGTTACATTGACCATCTTAACCTTGTATGAACCAGGAACAGGTAAAGGACATAAACCCATTCCTTGTGGTTTTTATAGATTAATCTGGGGACAATAGTTAGGAAACTTAAAATGTCTCATCTCTCCTCTACTTTTATTAGTTTGGTCACCGCAGCAACTAAAGCTGAGCTGGAAACTTCTCACACTGTCTTGTGCCCACCATTGTGTTGTGACCGTTTTTTGATAGTTTTTAAGATTAATTTCTCATTGTCCTGAGTTGAGCTCACTCTCGATTGACTTCTCTTGCCCTTGGTGATACTGTGGCATCTTCTTTGCACTGGGATCCCTGACTGGCTAGGCTCACCCATGTGTCTCATCCAGAAAACATTGCCTTCACGCTCAATTGCTCTTAAACAAGATTGAAAAGTAGCTCACATTCAAACCAAGCTGGGTTTTCCCCCCTCCAGATTCTGTTTCTACCAGTGTTCCCTCTAAGCTGAGTTAGTGTGAGCTAGCTCACCGTTTTTTAGCCTCCGGCTCACACATTTTTGTCTTAGCTCAGGAAGGATGGCTCCAAAGCAACTAATTTATGCAGTAGCCAAATTGCTCACTCACAACTTTCATGCCAGTAGCTCACAAAGTAGAATTTTTGCTCACAAGACTCCACAGCTTAGAGGGAACATTGATTTCTACCCTACCAAAATTGCAATTTCTGACCCCCATAATCCAAATTGGAGAATATTTAGATGTTATTGTTTATTTTATTATATTTTTTGCCTTCAAGTTGCAACCAATTTATGGTGACCCTGTAGGGTTTTCAAGACACCAGATGTTCAGAGGCAGTTTGCCATTGCCTGGCTCTGCCTAGCAACCCTGGACTTCCTTGGCAGTCTCCCATCCAAGTACTAACCGGGGCCGACCCTGCTTAGCTTCTAAAATCTGGTGAGATTAATGCAATCTGGGATATCAAGATCAGGACCTATTTAGGTTTTGTTTGTTTTTTGCTGTCGAATCACAGCTGGCTTCTTTTCGGCATTGATCTCAAAAGTGGCATTTGTAGGACACTCTGGCCCAGAACTGCTTATTGGTCCAATTCACACGGAGCATTTGCCGCGCTAAAGATACGGATGATAGGCGGATTTTCTGGGCACGATCACACCGCAACATCTGAGAAGCGTGCACTCATGGCTAACCCATGGCTTCTTGCCGAAGATACGGAGTAAAAAACTAGTACATACGATGTGCTAGTTTCCGGAAAACGCGGGGCAATGGCGGGCGTCTGATCGCGTTTCCACTGGAATCCCGTGGCATCGGGCGCCTGCCCATGTCCCGTTGCAAACTGGATTTTTTTAAAGTCTCCATAAAATGCGCACAAATGCCCACTAGCACATGTGCATACTGTGGTGAGGAGAAAAAAATCCAGTTTGCTATGGAAGCGGCGCCTAGCAATTGCCAGTGTGATCGACACCTAATGGCATACCCACGGGACCTCCATGGGACATATGATCGGGCTGCTGTGCGTTACATTGCTCCGGGGCAAACAGGCACGCTTCCCCCCCCCCCGTGCGCGCGCGTGCACATTTTCCAGCCCGTGTGACCGGGACCATTGTCAGCAAAGTTGCTGTATTCAGCGCCTTTCAGTTCTATTCCCCCTTTTGTTGTTGGGGGTTTTGGGGGCGGAAAGGACCACATTACACACCCCAGAGCTGGAGGGATGTGCCCAGTTTGGTGTAGTGGTTAAGTGCGCAGACTCTAATCTGGGAGAACCGGGTGTGATTCCCCACTCCTCCACTTGCACCTGCTGGATGACCTTGGGCAAGCCATAGTTC